ACCGTGTGCTTTTCCATCCGGTGGTATACTGTTTAACTATGCTTCTTAAGAGATTTCTAGAGATGATTGATTAATTTTTCATCTATCTTCTCGCGCAAGGGTATGAGCTATGTGTCTTACAACCTGGTTAGAAGATGCTCTAGTAGAAAGGAGGTAGAGTAGCTAACACCTGACCATATCCAGCGTTATTGCAGCTGGGTAGTTAGGGAGTACTAATTTTTTAAGATTTTGCGGTGTCTAGTCTTAATTGAATAATGAGAGGCATGGTCTAGACGCATCTGTCTGGATTTTTCTCCACTGTGTAATGTATATTATGTATAGTGGAGCTATCTAAGGGCCTAAGGAAATAGGGAAAGGTCATTCCTCTCTGTCAGGAACCCATGGAAACCATTAGTAGTTCAAGACCAGCCTGAGCAAGAGTGAGACCCTGTCTCTACTAAAAATAGAAAGATTGGCTGGGTGTGGTGACATGTGCCTGTAGTCCCAGCTACTTGGGAGGCTAAGGCAGGAGGATAGCTTGAACCCAGGAGTTTGAGGTTGCAGTGAGCTATGATGACACCATTGCTCTCTACTTGGGGTGACAGAGTGAGACTCTGCCTCAAAAAGAAAAAAAAAATAGCAACACAGGAGGGAGGTAGAGGTGGGTGGGGAGCTAGCAAATGACAGATTTGTCTGGGAAATGGCTAGAGAGACCTGGAAGTGGCCTCTGTGTCCCACTGTGCAGGTGGTTTGCTAATTTCAGACATTTTGTCAGTATGTGCTAAATGGGAGATGCCAGTTAGGCACTTGCTTCCAGGTGAGGGATTGTGCCTCCTTCAGTTGTTATTCTCTAGCCAGTTGTATAGTTCTTAGGGTCCCTCCCTGTGAGGGAGGCCTCCTCACCAGCTTTCTAAAGTCTGTCTTCCCAGGAAGCCTTTAAGCCATAGTCTCTGCAAAAGGCCCCTTTGTCTGGGGTGGTGTTGTCAAAAAGGTTCCCTTCTTTTTTTTTTTTTTTTTTTTTTTGAGACAGAGTCTCACCCTGTCACTTGGGCTAGAGGTCTGTGTTGTCAGCCTAGTTCACAGCCACCTCAAACTCCTGGGCTCAAGCAATCCTCTTGCCTCAGCCTACTGAGTAGCTGGGATTACAGGCAGGCTCCACCACACCTGGCTAATTTTTCTATTTTTAGTAGAGATAGGATCTTGCTCTTGCTCAGGCTGCTCTTGAACTCCTGACCTCAAGCGATTCTCCTGCCTTGGGCTCCCCAAGTGCTAGGATTACAGGCATGAGTCACCAAGCCTTGTCATCAAGGTTCCCTTCTTGAGGGTGGTGCCATAAATTGTTAGGAAACTGGGGATTCTTGGATCATGTAGGCCTTAAAAAATAGAAACTTTTTAATCTTTGCTCCTCTTGGAGACAAGATTAGTATCAAGCTCTTTAAATTACTGTTGTGTTACTCATTGAGAGCCCAGATTTTGGAGTCAGCCTGTCTGGTTCATGTCCTGCCAGTTACTGTCTGTGTGACTTTTGGCCAATCTCTAACCTCTCTGTACTGCATTTTACTCCTTTATAAATGGGGATAATGATATCACCTAACTCATTAGATGAAGTTGTAAGGATTATGTCCTTGAGGATTAAATGAATTAATATATGTAAAGTGCCTAAAATAGTACCTGCCACATAGTAAACATGATGTAAAGATTTGCTGTTATTAATTATCATTATTATTATTTATTCTTATAATGGGCGCGTTATCTTCAATGTCTTGATGACTGGATTTTGTTACCATTTCTTTAGATGTTAATGTCTTTGGTCAATTCTCTTTGTAATGGCATTTTCCTATATGGGAGTGGGAGGGGTGGGGAGATAAGATATTCTTAAGAAGGAAGAGCATCTCCCATGTAGTTTGTGTCGTTTGTTGTGATGCTCAGACTCACAGTTGCTGCAAGCATTGGAGATGCCCTTTCCTTGGCTTCTCTGATTTAGGAGGAGCAAGAGAGATTTTAAACAGTGGAGAAGGAGTAAAATATATGGACCCTGATCAGTACTGGAAATCTGTCAGCTTTTGAGAGTCTTATCTTTAAGAGTTACCTGGCTCATGGGGGGATCATGTGAGTATGTTGTGTATGTATTTATAAACACACATATACACTTGCATACCTACATCTACACTTATTTCTATAAGTAACTATAGATAGTGGAACCTTGAGTTCACTCTAACACTTTTTGTGTGTGTGTGTGAGACAGGGTGTGGCTCTGTTGACCAGATTGAAGTGCAGTGGTACAATCATATCTCAGTATAGCCTCAACAATTATCTTTGTGACATTTTCTTTGTTTCTTTCTCTCTTACTTTCTGAGTATTTTATTTTATTTTGAGACAGAGTCTCCCTTTGTTGCCCAGGCTAGAATGAGTGCCATGGCATCAGCCTAGCTCATAGCAACTCAAACCGCTGGTCTCAAGCAATCCTGCTGCGTCAGCCTCCCGAGTAGCTGGGACTACAGGCATGTGCCACCATGCTCAGCTAATTTTTTCTATATATATTCGTTGGCCAATTAATTTCTTTCTATTTTTATACTAGAGACGGGGGTCTCACTCTTGCTCAGGCTGGTTTTGAAATCCTGACCTCAAGCAATCTGCCCACCTTGGCCTCCCAGAGTGCTAGGATTACAGGTGTGAGCCACCACGCCCGGCCCTTTCTGAATATTTTAAAGCAAACCTCAGACATTTTATCAGTTCACCCACAAAGACAAATAATTTAGTTACAAATTTTGAACAAAGATCTTTTAAGGCCGGGCGTGCATGGTGGTTCACACCTGTAATCCTAGCACTATGGGAGGCCGAGGCGGGAGGATCTCGCTCAAGGTCAGGAGTTTGAAACCAGCCTGAGCAAGAGCGAGACCCCATCTCTACTAAAAAAAAAAATAGAAAGAAATCAGCCAGACAACTAAAAATATATAGAAAAAATTAGCTGGGCATGGTGGTGCATACTTGTAGTCCCAGCTATGCAGGAGCCTGAGGCAGAAGGATTGCTTGAGCCCAGGAGTTTGAGGTTGCTGTGAGCTAGGCTGATGCCACGGCATTCTAGCATGGGCAACAGAGCGAGACTCTATCTCAAAAAAAGATTTTTTTAAAAAAACATAACATAGCATCATTATGACAGTTAATTTTACAGTAATTCCTTAATATCATTGTGTTTTAGTTTTCCCAGTTGTTTCAAATAGGTCTTTTCACAGTTGCTTTGTTCTAATCAAGGTCCAAACAAGGTTTACCATTGCACTTGGTTGATATGTTTATTCAGTCTCGTATAATCTATGACAGTTTTCCTTTTTCCCCTGCATTTTTTTAAATGCCATTTATGTGTTGAAGAACCTTGGTCTTCTGCCCTATAAAATGTTGCACATAATGAATTTGACTGATTGCTTTTTTAAAAAATCATATAATTCCTTAATTCTCAAACTTACCTGCATATTGGAATCATCTAGGAAATTTTAAAAGTTATTTATGCCTGAATCAAGTCCTGTAACATTGTGATTTAATTGATCTTGGTTGCAGCCCGGGTATCAGGACGTTATAAAAGTTTCCCAGTGATTCTAATGTGACACAGGGTTTAAAAACTGGCGACTTAACTTGTGTATCTCACGTGTACACAAGTATCAGGATCTAGAAACTAAATTAGATTCAAGTTCACTTATTTTGCTAACAATACTTTATGGACAATGTCTTATACCTCCTGTGAAAATACTTTGTAGTAGTTTTCATTTATAATAGCCTTTTGGACCATTCATTTTCTTAAGTTCTCTCCCTTCTTTGTCATCCTTTGAATTGTAGAGGGATACAGTGAAGAATAAAAACTCAGGAAGGTATTGACATGGTATTTTATTTTTTCCCCTAATAACCTACCAAACTTGCATTTTGCAGCTTCTCCATTCCACTGGGTAGAAAGGGGCTTACTGACACTTCAGTCCAGCTACATAACTTGTAGTCACTATGACCTGACATCTAGTACCATCTGGCTCAAAGAAATATCAGAACTTTCTTCTATTATTGGGTAGGCCCAGTTTATTAGATGCTAGGCATTGTTCTAAGCACCTTACACAATAGTGCTCACAATTATCTAATCCCTACTAATACCCACAACATCCCTATCTATTACCCCATTTATAGATTGGGAAAGTTAGGCACAGGGAGGTTAAGTAATTTATCAAGATCACCCAACTAGTTAGTGGTAAAGCCGGATTACTCTGTGTCTAACCACTGTGCTAGACTGGAAATGGGGGCTTCAAACAAACAGGAAGGAAGAATTAGGAAAGAATGGGGTCCCTGAAACCAGGAGCTAGAGAGTTTCTCAAAGTGGAGAGCAGCAGCATAATCCTGGTTGCCTGAGAAGAGGCCATGGAAAGTAGAAAGTGGTAACTTGTGGGATAAGGGGAAGAGGAATCTCTGGTTGCTTTTGCAGGACCAATGGCATTGGCTATGCTGGCAATTTACTGTCTACAAGGTATTAAGGATTGGTGGGAGGAGAGGATTAGAGTGAAGGTGGGGAGGCCTTTCTTTCAAACAGTCTGGCCAGTGAAGGGGAGAAAAGAAAGTAGCAGATGAGGGGAGAGCGACCACTACTCTCTCCAGGCAAGTGCCTAGTTATGTGTTTGGCTTCTTTGATGTTTCTGAGAGACTAGTCCTTCTGAGAGGACTAGAGGTCCTCTTTCTGAGGACACTGGGAGACCCCTGCTTCCCAGCTGAATTTTAGTGTCAATTTTATGCCAGCTGCTTAGGCAAGCTTTACATCAGAAAGAAGTGGGGGCCACAGCAGCATCCTTCCAAAATTTAAAGATTTAGTCCTATTTCTTGTGATCCAGGCAGGGTCTGTGGTCCTTTTTTCCCCCTACCAATAACTGCCTTCCCTTGATTGGAGGTAAGCATAGGGTAGCTAATGGGTTAATTCGGGGACAACCACCGAGAGAGGATTCCTAGAGAGCCCAGGAAGTGGCTTTGGTTTCCACCGAGGCTTCCTGTGCCCCAGCCTCAACTTTTCTCCTGTGTGTAGAGTGATCACTTTCGCCCCGAGGACGTCCTCTGGGTATTTTCATTGTGGGACTGAGGGTGGCGTGCAGAGGACGACGCTGCAAAGGCACGGACAGTGGAAGAGATCTCTACAGCTGCGCCCCACGGGTACCCTGGGCCCCTGGGCATGAGAGGAGGGGACCACTTGCAGTTTTTCTGGCTAATGGTGATTTCTCATCTTTCAAGAATCCTTTGGAGATATATAAGTCGCAACTAGAGTGAGGCCCGGGTACGGCCGTGGGTCAGGATGGCTAGAGAACTGAGAAAAAACGCAGCTCTGGATGCCCAGTCCGCAGAGGAGCAGACGGGGCTCCTGACCGTAAAGGTGGAGAAGGAAGAAGCCTCCGCCTCGGTGGCTGAGCCGAGCTCACCCTGTAGCCCCGCTCGAGGCACCGAACGCTCCCGCCAGCGCTTCCGAGGCTTCCGATACCTGGAGGCTCCGGGGCCCCGCGAGGCGCTGAGCCGGCTCCGAGAGCTCTGCCGACAGTGGCTGCGGCCTGAGATGCACAGCAAGGAGCAGATCCTGGAGCTGCTGGTGCTGGAGCAGTTCCTGACCATCCTGCCCGGGGACCTGCAGAGCTGGGTGCGGGAGCAGCGTCCGGAGAGCGGGGAGGAGGTGGTGGTGCTGTTGGAGTATTTGGAGAGGCAGCTGGATGAGCGGATGCCGCAGGTAGAACAGGTTTAGTATCTGAGAGCTTCCTGAAATCTCAAGATCAAAGTGAGGGGCATTCTTGTAAGATCCAGGAGTTCTCCATTTCTTTTGTATCGTAAACCTCTTTGGTAGCAAGGTGAATTCCATGGACTCCTTCTCATAATAGTATTTTTAAATACAAAAAGAAAAATATAAAGGATTACACAATAACTCAATTATTGAAATACAGTTAGCAAAGTATTAAACACATTGGTAATAAAGTTATACATGGTTTTTTTTTATTAATGTACTAAATAATAAGACCTAGGGACAAGGGTAATAACTGGCCATTTCAAAGTGGTGATAAATGTAAATGACTTTGACTATCTTTTACCACATTACAATGTGATAAGCATCTGCAGTTTTTGTTGGTAACAAAGTCCTGGGTGCTGTTTATGCCACATTGGTTTGTTGCTTACATTCATAACTGAAGGAAATGATAAATTTCTTTTGGAGACTGGTCACAATAAGAATAGTTTTTTTCTTATTCAAGTCCGTGGACCACTAGTTATGAACTTCTGGTTGGGTTGATTGAACTTCTGGAAATGGGTTGATTTTCACCTCCATCTTCTTCCCTGTTTTATGAAATTGTTTCCTCCTTGCATCGTCCTGTGTCCTTGTCCACATACCCTTAGAGGACGTGTGACCAATGCCTTCTAACCAGCGACCAGGAAACCAAAGTTCTTGACTTAGATCTATTGAACCCGAGCCATGTAACAGTGAAAGGTCATTGCAAGTCTCTTGACTTCATTCTTTATAAAGGATGTAGGAAATTCTGAGCTGCACATGAGGAAGTAACTTGAAAACTGTAATTTCACTATAAATGTCTGGAAGAAAACTACATGTAATGAGGGCATATCATGTGCCAGGTCTTGTGTTAGGCGATTTCACATACTGTGATCTTATTTACTGGTCTCCAAAACCTCCTAAACTAGAAATTATCCTCATTTTTCAGATAAGAAAAGATATTAGTGTTCTTTGAGCACTCAGCACCATTTTCCAAAGGGTTATCATAAAAGCACAAATATATATATGAGGAAAAATAGGGTAATGGTTAAGAACATGGACTCTGGAGTAATTCTGCCTCAGCTGTCATCTTAGCATTGTCACTTATTAGCTGGGTGATGTGAGCAAGCTGCTTAAACTTTGTGCCTCAGTCTTTCCATAACAAAAATCCAAATTAATAGCTCATAGGGTTGTTGTCTATGTTAATTGAGTTAATTTTCCTAAATCTCTTGGGGAAACAGTGCCTGGAAAATAAGGAGTACTCATACATTGAAAACATGATAGAAATGTTTGGTAGATAAGTAAAGATAAATAAATGAATGACTTCTAGATCCCAGGTGGTGACCAGGGGCAAGAACTGCTGTGTTGCAAAGTTGCAATGTTGACACCAGCTCAGGGGTCTCAAAGTAGCCAATTCCAGCCAATGAAGGCTCTGCTGAAGCATGAATCTCTGGGATCTCAGCCCTTACAAGACAGAGGTGAGTATTATCTTCTGGGCTATATGAATTCTATGGACTTCATCTAATTTCATTTAAGGATTACATAAAGGACAGACCCATCTGTAGTTACTTTATATAATCATCACTGATCCATTGTAGTTTAAAACTGAGACTAAAAGGGAAATTTCAAACAATGGTAGACAACTTCCTAACCAAACTAAAACATAATAAATCAGACTTTATTAAAATTGGTGTCTGGAAACTATTGATATTTTAACAACATAATGATTTCTATGCATTTAATATATATTTATGGAGGCCTCATCTATGGTAACCAAGGTTATAGGCACCGAGGATAGAGCCATCAGTATGAATTATTGCTCTGATGAAGCTTATGTTCTAACAGGGAAGATGGAAAATGAATTCATAATACAATTTTAGATATTTCTAAGTGCTATGGATAATATAAGGCAGAATTTGTAAAGCCATCCCGAACATTCCAGAGATGGTAGGACTGCTGCACATTGAAGAGTATAAATCTTCTAAGCCCTGTAAAATCTATGACTAAAACAGGGTGAAAATTACTCGATAGGAAACTACTATGTATTCCAGGTTGTTCCTCATTTGCTGTGGACATATGCGCAAATTCCCAAGACATACAATACTTGGACATGCTATCTAATGAGTCATAGCCCACACCAACTTATTTTTTGCCCCTTGAAAAGTTGACTTCTTATAGGGAAAACTGAAATTCCCCTCTACCTCTCTCTTGAATCTGAGCAAATTCTACATAAACAGACTTCTATTTCCTCCTTAATGGACCCAGCCTTAGCTGACTCCCCTTAGTTTTTCAAACCCAGAGTGGACAGCACCCTAAGATCTACTAAAGACATTTTAAACAAACAAAGAAATAATAACCTTTACTCCCCCATATTCCCGTAAAATTCAAGACTGAAAGATCTTCAAATGGAAAGCTTAGTTTTATTTTTATGTTGCTTTCATTTTACCACTTCTACCAAGGATTCTGTGCATGGTTTTCATATATCTACAGAGTACACCAGATTTCTTTAGGCCCTAGGATTGTAGCTGTTAGGAATCAGGCATTTTGGAAAGGAACACACTCTATATAAACTTCCTGGCAAGAATTTACTAACCTAATTTTTGACCTTGGATTTTGACCTTGGATTCAGGAGGCTGAATGTCAGGGTGGATCTCATCCAGAGCTTCTTTCCTTCTTAGTTTTCCAGGTTTCTAGGCTTGCCCAGAGAGGGCGCTACAGAGAAGAAGCAGTGGTGGTTTCCAGGCTTACTCCAGAGTCCCAGGTGAGCTGGATCCCCTCTCCCTCCCAACACCCCACACTCTTCACCACTGTTAGGCTATCCATTGGGTCCCTCCCTCCCCAGTCCTACTTCACTCCTATCCTAGATTCACCTAGGATCTGAGTTTGCTTATCTATCCCAAGGTTGCTTATCATTGCCTTCATTTTGGTGCCCACTAAGAGGGTTTTCCTGTTTCACCACCACCTTGGAGAGTTCTCTGTGCTTCTCAGATCTTTTCTATACCATCTCTTTGGCCAGCCCTTTCGTCAGTGTGATTTTCTTCGACCAGGACAATTCAGGAAATGCAAACTGAAGGTTTTGTTGGGATGGTGATTTGTGTTTGTGTTTTATTTTTTTTTTAGTAAAAGGCGAAAGATTTATTCATTTTTGAAGAGAAACCGGAGTATTTTTTGTTTTTGTTTTTTTAATAGTATAATAAATAAACTGTGCTATTGGGGTGGGATATGGCCTCTACCCACAAAGAACTTACACTTGAAGGGACAGATAAGAAATGTCCTTTTAGTCTAAAGTCATTTATATTGCAATATGAACAATCTTTATTTAACCTAGATTTAAATTTCTTACTTAATCTTTCATGTCCTGCTTGAAGATCTGTTTGAGGCTCTGTAGTATCAACTTTTTTCTGATTTTTTTCACCTCAATCCTAGATATCATTGTATTTTAAGAATTATTAATGTAATTGAGCCTCTGCCCGACTTTGCCAAAGCACACCACAAACCTCTTGAAAAGTTTGGATATAGTTTCATTCCTTTTGCTGCATGGGCTCTTGTTTTTGAAATCTTTTCATTTTCTGGACTGTTTGGACACTTTGAAAGTACTTGTTCTAATGTATATTTCTTTTCCTTTTGCAGGATTCTTTTTTTTATATACGGATGTTATTAGAGATAGGGTTGAGTAGGTGTAGATGTGCCACACTTGCTCTTTTTTAAAGAGCCCCTTTACAAGGGATGTACATTCTTTGCATGTACCCAGATTTGGGAGTGATTTGGGGCAAGACAATGGAATTACTTATTGTTTTAGGGGTTGCTTAAAATGGAAGATGTGGCCCTGACCCTCTCTCCTGGGTGGACACAGCGGGATTCATCTCAAGTGAACCTCTACGGAGATGAAAGGCAGGAGAACCGTGGCGGCCTGGTCTCCCTGGGTAAGACTGATAGGCACTCATTTCTCTTAAGGTTTCTTGGCATTCTTTGTGTATTAGAACCTATTGGGATGTTAGGAGCTGTTGAACTTCATTATGTCTGGATTCAGAACCACCATTTCTGAAAGCCTGTTCCTGACTGGGTCCTTCCCCCTTCTGGCCTTGCTTGCTTCTCTGCCCTGCCAGAGTGCTGGTCAGGTTAAGTGTGATGAAGCAGATACAGTCCTAGTACAAGTCTGGGTCATAATAGGTGCTCAATAAATGTTGATTTCCTCCTGTCCCCTCCTGTTCCTGGCTCTGACAGAGGAGGAAAGCTGAGGGGCCTCTTCAGGAAACGGGCCATGGAGTCAGAATGTAGGAGCTAGAAGTGATGTTAGACCTCGACTACAGCCCCTGCCCTCAGAGATGAGGGTGCGGAGGCGCAGAAGACTGCCTGGCTCGTGTGAGGGCACACAGCTCGTTGGCAGCACAGTGGGGGCTCTCGCTCAGAACCCCCAGCACTGAAGCCAGTTCTCTGCCTGGGGCACAGTGAAAGATACTGCCCATATCATTGATCAGAGACTGATTTCTGAGTCTCAACTTTCACTGTTTCTTGCAGATTGCTTGAGAAATCCTCTACTGGCCCTGTGTACTGTGTTGCCTTCTGCTCAGCCCTTTCATCATTTCACCCCAGGTGTATGGCCCTGCTCCACTGTTCTTAGAGCTTAGAGCTGCCACATGGATCCCCAGTACAGTCCTGGGGCCTCACCACTTTCCTTCCACTCCCTCCATTCCCAGTCTGTACACTTCCAATGGCCCCACTCCCATTCTCAGGGCTCCCTCCTCCCAGCACTCCCGTTCTCCCCCTTTATTCCCATCCTCTTTCTTGTACTATAATTCTTCTCCTTGGCATCTGTAGACTCTGATTCTTGCCTCCACGGTCCTCGTCACAGAGTTCTCCCCCTGTGGCAGGGCAGAACTGACAGTTGCTGGCCATTTGTTGTTTCAGGTGGTGAAATACAGACTAAGATCAGGGACTTGCCTCCTGCTGAGGAGCTTCCAGGAAAAGAGCCTGGGCAGAGACCATGCCACCTGGGTGAAGACACTGCCCAGATGCCTACATGTGCAGAAGCTGGTGAACAGGAGGGCAGGTTACAAAGAAAGCAGAAAAACGCCACAGCGGGGAGGCGGCATTATTGCCATGAATGTGGAAAGAGTTTTGCTCAGAGTTCAGGCCTGACTAAACACATGCGAATTCACACTGGAGAGAAACCGTATGAATGTGAAGACTGTGGGAAGACCTTCATTGGGAGCTCTGCCCTTGTCATTCATCAGAGAGTCCACACTGGTGAGAAGCCATATGAGTGTGAAGAATGTGGCAAGGTCTTTAGTCACAGCTCAAACCTTATCAAACACCAGAGAACCCACACTGGGGAGAAGCCCTACGAGTGTGACGACTGTGGGAAGACTTTCAGCCAGAGCTGCAGCCTCCTTGAACATCATAAAATTCACACTGGGGAGAAGCCATACCAGTGCAACATGTGCGGCAAAGCCTTTAGGCGGAATTCACATCTCCTGAGACATCAGAGGATCCACGGCAATAAAAATGTTGAGAATCCTGAGCGTGGAGAGGCCTGGGAAAGTCAGGGTAGGGTGGAAAGTCAGTGGGAAAATGTTGAAGCTCCGGTGTCCTATAAATGTAATGAGTGTGAGAGAAGTTTCACTCGGAATAGAAGCCTTATTGAGCATCAAAAAATCCACACTGGTGAGAAACCCTATCAGTGTGACGCGTGTGGAAAAGGCTTCACCCGAACTTCATACCTTGTTCAACATCAGAGAAGCCATGTAGGGAAAAAAATTCTGTCACAATGACCCATGCTGTACATGGCAAATTTGATGCTCAGGCACCATTAAACTGAAGCCACCCAAGGAGCCCTTACTAACTATAGAAGTTGCGGGCTGGGGCTTTATTTACCACTATCATCAGGTGTTAGAAAATATAGTCTGGCTGAGTTGAATTATCTTCTACATTCTAGAAAGTGATTGGGAAATAAATTATTTGGTAGGAGGTCATGGAAGAGTTATCTGGAAGAGATAATACCTGAAATGGTTTGTTCTGACCCATTGGACTTAAATGGCCTTCCAGAATGGCTAGTTGTCCTCAGCCAACACTTCGTGATATCTCCTAGTTGGATGGCTCTGATTTGGGGGGCTGCTGCTCTGACCATTCATTTTGCCTATACTGAGTCCTTCACAAATTGGTCAGATTCCTTTACCCTCTCCCTCTGTGCCTTGCATATAGGTGCTAAGAAACATTTATTAGATACCAGTAAAATGACCTTCAGAGCTCTGAAAATCTAATGTTTTCTAGATTTCTGAGGGATTTCTAACTTTTGCCATTGTGTTTATGTCTAATTCTCTAAGGTCCTAGATTCTATATCAATCTAGTGTATTTGTTGCCAACTACATAATATTGTCAGAGTTGGGGTGGAGGAATCCTTATTTCTTCATCAGCATAGTATGTATAGTAAGAATGCCTTAAACAGCTTCTTTATCATTAAGACATGAGACTGCTTCATCCACAGAACTCCATTCTTTAGTCAATGGTAATTATGTTAATTCCCATTAATTTTGCTACTCTTTAGGGGCAAATCTTTCACATTCAGGTAAATAAAAATTTATTTATCAACTGAGATAAAAATGATTATTAATTTTTATATAAATTCTGTAATGCTTAACATCTTGCTTCTCACCTTTTAATTATCTTGGGCCTACCCAAGTGCTAGGACACCATCTGTATTCCTCTCCCCAACTTGTAGCCAACTATGCATCTAGGCGTATGCCATCTAAACTTAAACCCCCTCCAGGTCAGAGGAGGCACACCAAATATTTATAATCATTATTTATGGTTTCAAAACTGCCCTGTTGGTTGGGGATATGAAGATCAGGTTAGAGGCAGCCAATGAAGATAGCAGCCCAAATGTGGGGGTAGGAGAAAATGTGTGTGTTCAGAAGTGCATTGGGAACACTGAGTATCTGATGAAAAGCATTTCATAATATTGAAAGTATCAACATTTGAAGTCAAGATTCAAAGCTGTGAGTTAATCACAAGAAATATGAATATTTTGATATCTCGTTTTCACCCGAAGCACCTGCATTCTTCAAAGACTGATATCTTCTTCCCAGGTGCTCAAGTGCATATTACCAGCTTCCAGCATTGGCAGACTCTGTCATGAATGGATTCTGCTTCATGTTTTATTTAGTCACCAACATGATGTTCTTATCTGTTCTCAAGTACCCTTTCTGGATTCCTGCTCTGAAGTACCACAGACTGACTAGGGACTTTCAAAACCATAGGTCTCTCCCTTTATAAATTCCCTACAATCTTTAATTGCCTTCATTATCCCCTCATTTCAGTCCAATTTAAAACTTCTTTACATTTCCAAAGTTCTGTATACTCTTTCTCCACTCAATCTTTTCTAGCCTTTTTAAAAATTTCCTTTATAATTAGCCTTATTCTTGTTACCTCCACAAAGCCATTTCCCTCTTTTAATCTTTACTTTTCCTAAATATTTGCTAATAGTCCTAATCTTTTTTATTATTATTTTTTTTGTTTTGAGACAGAGTCTCACTGTGTTGCTCAAGCTAGAGTGCTGTGGCGTCAGCCTAGCTCACAGCAACCTCAAACTCCTGGGCTCAAGCGATCCTCCTGCCTTAGCCTCCCGAGTAGCTGGGATTACAGGCATGTGCCACCATGCCTGGCTAATTTTTTCTATATATATTTTTAGTTGGCCAATTAATTTCTTTCTATTTTTAGTAGAGACAGGGTCTTGCTCTTGCTTAGGCTGGTTTCAAACTCCTGACCTTGAGCGATCTGCCTGCCTCGGCCTCCCAGAGTGCTAGGATTACAGGCATGAGCCACCGTGCCTGGCCCTAGCCCTAATCTTAAACACCCAAACTCATTACAAACAACCCTTGTTCATTTTTCTGTGGTATTTAATTGTTTCTGATGTTACACAGAGATGCGTTTGAAACCTTTTACAAACCAGAAATCATTACACAAATATAACTTACTGAGATTCACAAAGGATGACCATGTCTCCTTTCCATTTTGCTCCTTCCAAGCCTAAAAGTCTTCTCTCTAAAGGAGGGAAATACTGTAGAAGAGTAATTTTGAGTGCTTACTATGTTAGGCAGGGGAAGGGATAAAGCCTGTAATTATCCTAGTGTGTGTGTGTACGTACATACAGATATGTACATACTTGGGCTTAGGCCTTTATTATAATAAGGTTGATAGGACTTGCACACCAAGATGACAGTGCAATAATTGCCTTGTAAATGGTAAACTGAGGGCCAAAGAATTTCATAGAAGGTAAAGGTAACTTCTAGCTGTGTGAGCTGTTACTATTATATAGACAAGGTATCATGTCTATGTAAGAGAGCTGAAAAGACTCAGCAACTTATCAGATTTAGCAAATAAGGCAAGTTTGACGAGATAGGTACATTGCAGGGTCCTTCAGTGCCAGAGCAGGAGTTTAAACTTAATTCAATAAGCACCAGGAAACCACTGACTTTTTTTTTTTTTTTTTTTTGAGACAGAGTCTCACTGTTGCCCAGGCTAGAGTGCCATGGCGTCAGCCTAGCTCTTAGCAACCTCAAACTCCTGGGGCTCAAAAGCGGGATTTCCTGCCCTCAAGGCCTGGCCAAGGTAGCTGGGACTACAGGGCATACGCCACAATGCCGGCTAATTTTTTTCTATATATTTTTAATTGGCCAATTAATTTGGTTTCTTATTTTATAGGTAGAGACAGGGTCTGGCTCTTGCTGAGGCTGGTTTTGGAACTCCTGACCTCAAACATTCAGCCACCATTGGCCTCCCAGTGTGCTAGGATTTACAGGCATGAGCCACCATGCCCGCCCGCCACTGACTTTTTTTCCTTTTCTTCCTTAGTCAATTTATTCTAAAAACATTAGCCTTTGACAATAAACAGAGGAAAAAGCAATAAAAAAAAGCAAATGGATTACATTTTAATGGGTGGGGAAAACTGCAGGCCATGGCAGGCCAGAAAGTCCTATTAACTCAGTAGAATGTTCTGTGTGACTGCCAAGAGTCTCAATATAGTAGTAGGTTCATTCTTCATTCACCTCCCAAAGGTCTCAGAAATTGGGAGGCCTTAGATGGGAGGCTGTATGTGATGAATGGTTCTATTTTTTTACTCTTCAACCATTTTTCTTGATCTTGCTCTCTGATTCCATACATTCTAGACTGTTCAGTGGATCTGTAATAAACTTCCAAGATGAAGGAAAATTTCTTGCTCCATTGTTTTGTCTGAAATCTTGGCTTGTGTTTCATCTTATTAAACAAAAAGTATGCTCCAAAAGGCCCACAAGTTTCAGCTTACTAAAACTCTTTTAAAGATCTTCTTTCCCAGTGGTTCCATACTGGAGTCAACCTAACGCACGCACGTGGGGACGTGGCATATTGCCACTAACTTTTCATTATCAAAATATTATCTAGGAAGCTTTATTTTTTAATCTTTTGCACAAAAAGATAGAGTGCCTGTGTAGAGCCTAAGCTCAAGAGCAAGCCTCAAACTCCTGGGCTCAAAACATCCACCCACCTTGCCTCCTAAATAACTAGGATTTAACAGGGAGTTGAGCCCACCGCGCCCTGGCCCTGGCAACCCCGTTTTAACATCTAGAAAAAATAGATGTAAAATTAAGATTTGTTTTGTCCTTATATACACTAATTTACACAAGTAGTAAGAATAAAATAACACAACATAGGAAAACAATGGGGTAATCTTGCCTCACTATAAGTGCCTGGCAAGTGATACGCCAAGTGTACACTAATGGCTAGCCGCTCTTTGACCAGTTGAAAGGAACTAAGCAGCACCTAGGGGTGGAATCAGAAGCCAAAGAATCCTTTATTAACCAGCAGGCTTCAGTGAACTTTCCTGATCCTTCCCTTCTTGGTCTCCTCCTTGCTTTTATACCCTTGTAGGACTCAAAAAAGCATCTAATCAGCCAATAAGCTTTAACCATCCAATCAAGCAGAAGGTTTATTAATCCAATCAGAATCAGGGGCAGCTAGCACAAAAACGGAGACAGAGCATGGCTTGAGCAAACCTAGGCACCATGGCCAGGGACAGGACCCACAAGGGCCGGCCCAGCAGTAAGGCACCCCTGGCAGCCTCCACTAAGGCCCTCCATGCAGCAGCCTGCAGGGGGATGCAGAGCAGGGTGGGCGGCGCTTTGTGGGTTCTGGGGTGCTGGATGGTTTTCCCTGTTACTGGGCACAGAGCTCTTCCCTCTCCCTCCTTTTCCCTGAACCTGTACAATAACATGTTGTTTTGGGTTTGGCCATGTCCCCCAAAATTCATTATGAACTTTAACCAAAAAAAAGTATTTGGCAGGCTGGGCGAGTGGCTCACGCTTGTTAATCTAGCACTCTGGAGGCCCAAGGGCAAGGGCGGAATCCACTCAAGTCAGGAATTGGGAAACCCATCCCAGAGGTAAGATTTGAGACCCGTCCTCTACTAAAACAAACAAAAAATTGGCCAACTGAAACAGAAAATTAAGGCCCAGGCCATGGTGGGCCGCAGCGTGGTATCCAGCTTAATCGGGGGGAGGCTGAAGGGCCAGGGGAGGGATCGCTTTGAGCCCCAGGAGTTTGAGGTGCTTGTGAGCTAAGGGCTGGACCCCCATGGGCCACTCACTCTACCTGGCAAACAAGAGTGAACTTGTCTCAAAAAAAAAAAAAAAAAAAGGTATTTGCAAAAGGTATTATTACTTCTACTTTTAACATATTTTAACATATATTAGGCACTTAAGAACATCTAGAAAGACTACATATTTCAAAAACAGTACTTAGTTTTATCAACTATGTATATAGCAGTGAGAAATGAAATAGACACACAAAACAATGCTTGTAATATGAAAATGTCTTCTAAATATGACCAATCTGGCACAGAATCTTCTCTTCCTTCTCAAAGTCTTCCACTCCATGTCTTCTAACCCACTGAGCAAACGTGGACAAGTGTCACTTCCAGGGGTGGTCTAAAAATTCCATTTCCAAAAGTCATTTCCAGAAGGATTTATTCAATGATATATATATATTTTTAATGGGCATTTACAAGATGTGTTATTTTCTAACTCTACTTTAGCATACCTCAGCAGCCTCTTTACATCTAGAAGGGCTAGATTTCTTTTAGAAGGTTAGGGGTGGAAAAGTTCAGAGCAGCCTTTTCATATTATATACACAGGCCTTCTTCTATAATCAGCCAGTGAATCTTCCCAAATGTGGTATGTTGTTTCTTCTGATATCATGGTCTGGGGGTAGAACTAAGACCAACCGCCCGATGGCGCGCTAGCTGTTCCACCCGTAGTCCAGGGCTCCGCTCACCTTCCCGGCCTGGTAAGGCCTTTGTCCATCGTTGTCACGACCACGACCACGTAGGGCTCGCCCAGTGGGGACAGGGCGGTCACACCAGAAGCCGGATCTGCGCGGCTCCACGGCCCAAGCAGGAGACCGAGCTTGCGCCCACAAACCGGCCTTCTAGGGCCCTACAAACCCTAACGGCCCTTCCTGGCGTTTGGGGTAGGTGGGTGGGGGGCTTACAGGTTATAGGTGGGTTTAAAGATTCTTTGGCTGGCAATTGGCTGAGAGAGTTAGACTTTATCTAGAAGACCAGAAAGGATATGCTTATTTTAAGATAAGGGTGTGAGCACTCTAGGAGGTCCAGACAGGAGGACATTTTAAATTTACAATAGGTGCCTACTAGGATGTTTTAAGATGCTTTAAATTTAAGAATAGGCATCTGCTAGGATGCTTGAATTAAGATATTTTAAATTTATGATAGGCATCTGCTAGGATGCTTGAATTAAGACTGGGGCTTCTTATCTTTTAGGTGATCCTAATGCCATACCAGAATCAGGTAGGGAAGTAAACCACTGCTTCATTTGGTTAACAAAAGCTGCTTAGTGGGAATTTACCGTTTGTCAGCCTGACCCAGCTGGCCTCCTTAGGAAGGAGTTTTTAGCAAAAGAAAAAAATCAGAGTTCAGTCCTCAAGCAGTATATGAAGTATAATAAAATGCCACTTATAATGCTTTCTTAAATGGTCTTTAGGAATTTTAGTGTTGAATAGTTGGCCATTCTATTTCATTTCACCAACTGAAGCAATGCAGAAATCCTCCATTTTCTTTTTTTCTTCAAAGATGCTTGAATAAATACAAGTGGTTATAGCATTTTTTCCTACTTGGGTAGAGTGAATGGTTATAATGAAAAGAGGTTTTGATGAACTGCCCTCTTTTTTCTTAATTTTGGCAAAGATGTGTATAATCCTGCAAAAAGACTTTCTCTGCCTCTCCCTTAAGTGGAAAACAAAGGTCAGAGTGACAACTCACCTCACAGAGTTCTGAGGATCTCTTGTACCAATAAGAAGTGCTATGTGGGGCCAGGCGTGGTGGCTCAAGCCTGTAATCCTAGCTCTCTGGGAGGCAGAGGCTCGAGGATTGCTCAAGGTCAGGAGTTCCAAACCAGCCTGAGCAAGAGTGAGACCTGTCTCTACTAAAAATAGAAAGAAATTAATTGGCCAATTAAAAACATATATAGAAAAAATTAGCGCATGCCTGTAGTCCCAGCTACTTGGGAGGCTGAGGCAGAAGGATTGCTTCAGCCCACGAAGCCCAAGAGTTTGAGGTTGCTGTGAGCTAGGCTGACACCACAGGGCAACAGAGTGAGACTCTGTCTCAAAAAAAAAGAACTGCTATGTGAATACACTGAAGATGTGGATATTTAGTAAAGAAATGAAGATTGAACACTTTGTTAGTTGAAACCTTTATATAATGGAATTATAATTGTTTAATAATAAAGACTATATTTAAAAAGTGTCCTGTAACTATATGACAGTGTTGATCTTCTAATAATGTCTGAAATCTGTGTGGTACCATCTCCTTAATTATTCATGATGAGAATTTTAACTACTGAGTAATTTCAGTTTATCTGCTTTTCTCTAAATACTCCTTTTCGTCCATCTTTTGTTTTTCTTCATGTTAGTCTAAATTAGCTCTTCCAGATTCAAATGAGGAAACTTTTTTCAAATCAGCTTTGTATAAGTAATATCCATTTTGTAATTTCAAATGGAGTTGCTACTGCAGAAATTTTTCAGGATGACTACTTTCCTGTGAACTTTTTTGTTAATGTATTAGTTTCCCTTGTTATAGAAATATCCTTTCATTTTTATATCTACTCGCATTTCTCACTTGGTTTCTCTGGCAATAGCAATCCCTCTCAATTTACAAAATCAATCTAAGACCCTGGAATTTGGACAAAGCAAGATTTCCTAGTCTCCTTTTCCAATTAATGGTTGAACATTGTGATATATTCTTGCTTATTCTATGTATTTTGTTGAATTTGGTTGTTATCCAAAATCCCCTGCACACCTTTCCAAACTCCTATTTTATTGCAGTTTCTAAGGTTGGTACTTCAAGGTTTCCAGGGGTCTAGGAAAACAATCCTAATGTAACTTATTTGTATCCAAATAATAACCCATATGGTTATTCCTTTTGTCTGAGTGAATTCTATTTTTTTTTATTTTAGCATATTATGGGGGTACAAATATTTAGGTTATGTATGTTGCCTTGTCCCCCTCTCCTCCCAAGTTAGAGTTTCAAGCGTGTCCATCCCCCATGTGGTGCACATTGCACTCATTATGTATGTATATACCCATACCCTCCTCCCCCCTCCCATCTGCCCAATATCCAATAAATGTTATTCCTATATGTACACTTAGGTGTTGATCAGTGAAACCAATTTGCTGGTGTGAGTGAATTCTTAAACACATAATCCATTGCATAATTTTCCAATTGTCAGAAAATAACTATAACTATATTTTCAGGTTTTAACTAAAGCATTAAAACTTTTAGCCATTTTCTCCCTTTCTTGTTGCCCACCAATTCTGCCCATAGTCATTGGGAGCCTGGGAAATGGTGTTTGTAGCCTTCCAGACCAGCTTATAGCAAAGAGTATAGAAAGACTGGTATGGGGCTGAGAGATATGAGAGCTAGGCAATACTTAAGACTGGCTCTCCATTGTAGCTTCAGCACTCAGCAGACTTCCTCTTTAAATGAGTGAATCTGGAAATTGAGTCAACTTGTTCTTTTGTATTATTATTATTTTTTTTTTTGAGACAGTCTCACTTTGTTGCCCAGGCTAGAAGTGAGTGTCACGGCGTCAGCCTAGCTCACAGCAACCTCAACAGCTGGGCTCAAGCGATTCTCCTGCCTCAGCCTGCCAAGTAGCTGGGACTACAGGCATACGCCACAATGCCCGGCTAATTTTTTTCTATATATTTTTAATTGGCCAATTAATTTGTTTCTATTTATAGTAGAGACAGGGTCTGGCTCTTGCTGAGGCTGGTTTTGAACTCCTGACCTCAAACATTCAGCCCACCTTGGCCTCCCAGTGTGCTAGGATTACAGGCATGAGCCACCATGCCCGCCCGCCACTGACTTTTTTTTCCTTTTCCTTCCTTAGTCATTTATTTCTAAAACATTAGCCTTTGACAATAAACAGAAGGAAAGCAATAAAAAAAAGCAATGGATTTACATAATGGGTGGGAAACTGCAGGCCATGGCAGGCCAGAAGTTCCTATTACTCAGTAGAATGTTCTGTGTGACTGCCAAGAGTCTTCAATATAGTAGTAGGTTCATCTTCATTCACCTCCCAAAGGTCTCAGATGGGAGGCTTAGATGGGAGGCTGTATGTGATGAATGGTTCTATTTTTTACTCTTCAACCATTTTTCTTGATCTTGCTCTCTGATTCCATACATTCTAGACTGTTCAGTGGATCTGTAATAAACTTCCAAGATGAAGGGAAATTTCTTGCTCATTGTTTGTCTGAAATCTTGGCTTGTGTTCATCTTATTAAACAAAAAGTATGCTCCCAAAAGGCCCACAAGTTCAGCTACTAAAAGTCCTTTAAAGATCTTCTTTCCCAGTGGTTCCATACTGTGAGTCAACCTGAAGCGCACGCACGTGGGGACGTGCATATGCCACTAACTTTTCATTATCAAAAATATTATCTAGGAAGCTTTATTTTTTTATCTTTTTGCACAAAATGTGCTAATTTTACTAAGTACTTCGTCATACACTGGCAACCTCTCTAACATCTAGAGATTAGATATTGCAAAATTAGGACACATTTTTACATTATATACATTATATACACAGCAAAACAAAATACACAAAACATAAGAAAACTGATATCTGAAAATGTCTAAGTATGAACACACTAGCATATTACCTTTTGCAATTCCTTCCCTCCCACCTCCTCCAAACCATTGAACTAGTATAGATGGTACTATACTGCTCACAGAGGTGGTTTAACAATTCTATTTCCAAAAGACAGTTTTCTTCTGAATTTTAGCAAAAAGATATTTACGAAGTGATATTTTACTACCTCTACATTTAACATACATTGGGCACTTGTAAATGTCTAGATAGACTAGATGTTTCAGGTAAGGATTTAATTTGTTCACTATATACATAGTAGTCTTGAATAAACATATAACAATAGTTATAACTTGAAAATGTCTTTGAAACATGAACATTCTGGCCTAGAGCCCCCTTCCCTCCACCAACCCAGTGGGCTATAATGCTCAAATTTTCAGAAGACGATTTCTCCTAGGAATTGTAAAACAAAAATGTACAAAATATATTAGTTTGCTAATTCTGCTTTTGTCATACACTGGCAACCTTTTTTTTTGAGACAGAGTCTCACTCTGTTGCCTGGGCTAGAGTGCCCTGGTGTAAGCCTAGCTCAGAGCAGCCTCAAACTCCTGGGCTCAAACAATCCACCCACCTTGGCCTCCTAGAATACTAGGATTACAGGCGTGAGCCACCGCGCCTGGCCTGGCAACCCCTTTTAACATCTAGAAAAGACTAGATGTAAATTAGGATTTGTTTGTCCTTTATATACACTACATACACAAGTAAGTAAGATAAAATACACAAACATAGGAACAATGGTTAATCTTGCCTCACTATAAGTGCACTGGCAAGTGATACCGCCAGTGGTACAGCTAATGGTACCGCTCTTGACCAGTGAAAGAACTAAGCAGCACCTGAAGAATCAGAAAGCCAAAGAATCCTTTATTAATCCAGCAGGCTCAGCTGACTTCTGATCCCCCTTTCCTTGGTCTCCTCCTGCTTTTATACCCTTGGTAGGACTCAAAAAGCATCTAATCAGCAATAAGCTTTAACATCCAATCAGCAAGAAGGTTTAATATCCAATCAAGATCAGGCAGCTAGCACAAACGGAGGACAGGAGCAGGTGGCTTGAGCACCTAGCACATGCCAGGACAGACACAAGGCCCGGCCCCAGCAGTAGGCAATCCCTGCAGCCTCCAACTAGCCCCCATGCAGCAGCTGCCCAGGGGGATGCAGAAGGGCAGGGAGGTGGCGGGCGGCTGTGTCTGGGGTGCTGGATGGTTTTTCCCTGTTACTGGCACAGAGCTCTTCCTTCTCCTCCCTCCTCCCCTGAACCTGTACACTAACATGTGTTTGTGGTTTGGCCATTGTCCCCCAAAATTTCATATGAACTTTAACAAAAAAGTATTTGCAGGCTGGGCGAGGTGGCTCACGCCTGTAATCCTAGCACTCTGGGAGGCCAAGGCAGGCGGATCACTCAAGGTCAGGAATTGGAAACCATCCAGAGTAAGAGTGAGACCCCGTCTCTACTAAAAACAAAGAAATTGGCCAACTGAAAACAGAAAAAATTAGCCAGGCATGGTGGCACATGCGTGTAGTCCCAGCTACTCGGGAGGCTGAGGCAGGAGGATCGCTTGAGCCCAGGAGTTTGAGGTTGCTGTGAGCTAGGCTGACCCCATGGCACTCACTCTAGCCTGGGCAACAGAGTGAGACTCTGTCTCAAAAAAAAAAAAAAAAAAAGGTATTTGCAAAAGGTATTATTACTTCTACTTTTAACATATTTTAACATATATTAGGCACTTAAGAACATCTAGAAAGACTACATATTTCAAAAACAGTACTTAGTTTTATCAACTATGTATATAGCAGTGAGAAATGAAATAGACACACAAAACAATGCTTGTAATATGAAAATGTCTTCTAAATATGACCAATCTGGCACAGAATCTTCTCTTCCTTCTCAAAGTCTTCCACTCCATGTCTTCTAACCCACTGAGCAAACGTGGACAAGTGTCACTTCCAGGGGTGGTCTAAAAATTCCATTTCCAAAAGTCATTTCCAGAAGGATTTATTCAATGATATATATATATTTTTAATGGGCATTTACAAGATGTGTTATTTTCTAACTCTACTTTAGCATACCTCAGCAGCCTCTTTACATCTAGAAGGGCTAGATTTCTTTTAGAAGGTTAGGGGTGGAAAAGTTCAGAGCAGCCTTTTCATATTATATACACAGGCCTTCTTCTATAATCAGCCAGTGAATCTTCCCAAATGTGGTATGTTGTTTCTTCTGATATCATGGTCTGGGGGTAGAACTAAGACCAACCGCCCGATGGCGCGCTAGCTGTTCCACCCGTAGTCCAGGGCTCCGCTCACCTTCCCGGCCTGGTAAGGCCTTTGTCCATCGTTGTCACGACCACGACCACGTAGGGCTCGCCCAGTGGGGACAGGGCGGTCACACCAGAAGCCGGATCTGCGCGGCTCCACGGCCCAAGCAGGAGACCGAGCTTGCGCCCACAAACCGGCCTTCTAGGGCCCTACAAACCCTAACGGCCCTTCCTGGCGTTTGGGGTAGGTGGGTGGGGGGCTTACAGGTTATAGGTGGGTTTAAAGATTCTTTGGCTGGCAATTGGCTGAGAGAGTTAGACTTTATCTAGAAGACCAGAAAGGATATGCTTATTTTAAGATAAGGGTGTGAGCACTCTAGGAGGTCCAGACAGGAGGACATTTTAAATTTACAATAGGTGCCTACTAGGATGTTTTAAGATGCTTTAAATTTAAGAATAGGCATCTGCTAGGATGCTTGAATTAAGATATTTTAAATTTATGATAGGCATCTGCTAGGATGCTTGAATTAAGACTGGGGCTTCTTATCTTTTAGGTGATCCTAATGCCATACCAGAATCAGGTAGGGAAGTAAACCACTGCTTCATTTGGTTAACAAAAGCTGCTTAGTGGGAATTTACCGTTTGTCAGCCTGACCCAGCTGGCCTCCTTAGGAAGGAGTTTTTAGCAAAAGAAAAAAATCAGAGTTCAGTCCTCAAGCAGTATATGAAGTATAATAAAATGCCACTTATAATGCTTTCTTAAATGGTCTTTAGGAATTTTAGTGTTGAATAGTTGGCCATTCTATTTCATTTCACCAACTGAAGCAATGCAGAAATCCTCCATTTTCTTTTTTTCTTCAAAGATGCTTGAATAAATACAAGTGGTTATAGCATTTTTTCCTACTTGGGTAGAGTGAATGGTTATAATGAAAAGAGGTTTTGATGAACTGCCCTCTTTTTTCTTAATTTTGGCAAAGATGTGTATAATCCTGCAAAAAGACTTTCTCTGCCTCTCCCTTAAGTGGAAAACAAAGGTCAGAGTGACAACTCACCTCACAGAGTTCTGAGGATCTCTTGTACCAATAAGAAGTGCTATGTGGGGCCAGGCGTGGTGGCTCAAGCCTGTAATCCTAGCTCTCTGGGAGGCAGAGGCTCGAGGATTGCTCAAGGTCAGGAGTTCCAAACCAGCCTGAGCAAGAGTGAGACCTGTCTCTACTAAAAATAGAAAGAAATTAATTGGCCAATTAAAAACATATATAGAAAAAATTAGCGCATGCCTGTAGTCCCAGCTACTTGGGAGGCTGAGGCAGAAGGATTGCTTCAGCCCACGAAGCCCAAGAGTTTGAGGTTGCTGTGAGCTAGGCTGACACCACAGGGCAACAGAGTGAGACTCTGTCTCAAAAAAAAAGAACTGCTATGTGAATACACTGAAGATGTGGATATTTAGTAAAGAAATGAAGATTGAACACTTTGTTAGTTGAAACCTTTATATAATGGAATTATAATTGTTTAATAATAAAGACTATATTTAAAAAGTGTCCTGTAACTATATGACAGTGTTGATCTTCTAATAATGTCTGAAATCTGTGTGGTACCATCTCCTTAATTATTCATGATGAGAATTTTAACTACTGAGTAATTTCAGTTTATCTGCTTTTCTCTAAATACTCCTTTTCGTCCATCTTTTGTTTTTCTTCATGTTAGTCTAAATTAGCTCTTCCAGATTCAAATGAGGAAACTTTTTTCAAATCAGCTTTGTATAAGTAATATCCATTTTGTAATTTCAAATGGAGTTGCTACTGCAGAAATTTTTCAGGATGACTACTTTCCTGTGAACTTTTTTGTTAATGTATTAGTTTCCCTTGTTATAGAAATATCCTTTCATTTTTATATCTACTCGCATTTCTCACTTGGTTTCTCTGGCAATAGCAATCCCTCTCAATTTACAAAATCAATCTAAGACCCTGGAATTTGGACAAAGCAAGATTTCCTAGTCTCCTTTTCCAATTAATGGTTGAACATTGTGATATATTCTTGCTTATTCTATGTATTTTGTTGAATTTGGTTGTTATCCAAAATCCCCTGCACACCTTTCCAAACTCCTATTTTATTGCAGTTTCTAAGGTTGGTACTTCAAGGTTTCCAGGGGTCTAGGAAAACAATCCTAATGTAACTTATTTGTATCCAAATAATAACCCATATGGTTATTCCTTTTGTCTGAGTGAATTCTATTTTTTTTTATTTTAGCATATTATGGGGGTACAAATATTTAGGTTATGTATGTTGCCTTGTCCCCCTCTCCTCCCAAGTTAGAGTTTCAAGCGTGTCCATCCCCCATGTGGTGCACATTGCACTCATTATGTATGTATATACCCATACCCTCCTCCCCCCTCCCATCTGCCCAATATCCAATAAATGTTATTCCTATATGTACACTTAGGTGTTGATCAGTGAAACCAATTTGCTGGTGTGAGTGAATTCTTAAACACATAATCCATTGCATAATTTTCCAATTGTCAGAAAATAACTATAACTATATTTTCAGGTTTTAACTAAAGCATTAAAACTTTTAGCCATTTTCTCCCTTTCTTGTTGCCCACCAATTCTGCCCATAGTCATTGGGAGCCTGGGAAATGGTGTTTGTAGCCTTCCAGACCAGCTTATAGCAAAGAGTATAGAAAGACTGGTATGGGGCTGAGAGATATGAGAGCTAGGCAATACTTAAGACTGGCTCTCCATTGTAGCTTCAGCACTCAGCAGACTTCCTCTTTAAATGAGTGAATCTGGAAATTGAGTCAACTTGTTCTTTTGTATTATTATTATTTTTTTTTTTGAGACAGTCTCACTTTGTTGCCCAGGCTAGAAGTGAGTGTCACGGCGTCAGCCTAGCTCACAGCAACCTCAACAGCTGGGCTCAAGCGATCCTCCTGCCTCAGCCTCTTGAGTAGCTGGGACTAGAGGCATGCGCCACCATGCCCGGCTAATTCTCGCACTTGCTCAGGCTGGTTTCGAACTCTTGATCTCAAGCAATCCGCCCCCCTCGGCCTCCCAGAGTGCTAGGATTACAGGCAAGAGCCACCGTACCTGGCCCTTTTGTATTATTAAATCAAAATTTCTTGACACTTAACTACTGGAACACAAAGCATTTGCATATCTGCTTCTAGAAATACTAGCCTTTCCCTATTTCTAAACAAGTTTTATATTTACAACCATTCATTCAACAAACCCAATTGTTTATGTCATGTTTGTGCTCAGA